ATAACTATCGTCTCGATGATCATGTCCTTACTGAGGTCTCTTCAGTTAAAGACCTGGGCTTTCACTATGACAACAAGCTTGATTTCTCGGATCACTATGCGGCTATTTTCAAAAAGGCTATCTTCCGAACATACCAGGTCTTCAAAGGTTTAGCGATTAGTGATAAGGATATTTTACTGAAGGCTTACAAAACGTATATACGTCCAGTAGTTGAATGTGGAACGTCTGTTTTCTGCCCATATAAGGTGAAGGATATTCAGCTGATTGAGAAAATCCAAGATAATTTCACTCGAAAGCTGGTTATTAGATCTGGTGATGCTACTTATGGTAAAGTGCCTCGGCCAAATTCAAGGAATAAAAGTTTACAACTGCACTGTTTATGGTCTCGTAGGAAGGTTTATGATGCATGTATGGTGTTGCTAGAATCGACGCATCCAAATTCTATGTAAAGTTGGAATCTAGAACCAGAGGTGGAAAAGTTAAAATTTCATATGCAACGCCGAGAACCAACATCAGACGGTACAGCTTTACTTGCCGAGCCGGCACTACTTTTATATCTCTAAAATCAGATGTGCCACTCACCACTTCCACGTTTGCACTTTTCAAACTCCTCGCTAAGAAAAAGCTCTTGTCGTATAATTAGGTAACGCTGTGTTGTGTTGTTAGCGATAGAAATTTTCCCACGTTTGCCTTATGCAACGTCTTCAATAAATAAAATAAATAAATAAATTTTGAGGGCATTCTAGAACGTTTCTTCGGGTTCCCTACTTATTTGTAAATCATTCATTACATTAATTTGCATTTACAACTCTTAAACGAGTCAGTTCAAAGCGAATCTTCCTGTTAACTGCCTCCAAGCTGGTAGGTTGGTGTAGGCTCTTCGAAGTAAGTCTTTATTCAGCACATTTACAACATGTACACATCTATCAATCTACATACAATGATAGGAAGTATATAACATAACAATAGCAGAGAATAAGTATTTACAATATTGTCAATGGAAAGTGGCCAGTTTCTCCACCATTCATTCGTCCGTTCAGTTCAAATTGCACCAGCTTCCCTTAGGCGTGCAGCCAGTTTTCCGTCTTTTGCACTATCCACCGTATCATCGCCTCCACCGTAGAACTTCTGCCCGATGAACACACGTGGAGTCGAGCCTGCTCCAGTCAGTGACTAAAACGTAAACATAAACATAGCGACTGTTGTGGAACATCACATTACTCAGACCTGATTCGAAGAGCACAGCTTATTCACTGGAACCGAAAAAAAAGAGTCGAAGTATATGAGTCCGATTTCGAGGGGGCTGGGAATAGTCAAAAGGCAAAAATATCTGGCAGTCATCGTTCCACTGGAACACAGTCCGCACTGCTGCCACCTCCATCGTCACAGGAAAAGAGACATGGTAGGTTCCGAGGAGGGGCTTACCGTGAGAGCTGCTAGCACTAGGTGCGTTCGGTCACCTAGACTTAATGAGCCTATACATGACCTCTAGGCATTGAAGACAAAGTAGTCCACCCAGGCATGAACCCAGCAAGGTAAACTTTCGGCCTTGAGAATTACAACCCTCTTGTTCATTCCCGTTATTTCAATGCCAATTCTACCTTTCATCCATTTGCTCCGATCGTCATCTCTTTTTTGATATCTGATTAACTTCGAAGATAATGTCCCGATTTCTATGCTAATGTTGGAGACGTTGTTCAACTACTGCCAACAACTGGTCAGCTAGTATCAAGAAATCTCGGATGACGTGAATTGGGAGGGGTCTCGAACAGGATCGTCATGCAATCAGAAGCAAACCGGATTCAATTCCAAAAAAATATGTTGTCTAAATTGCTTTTTCACTTCTCAAGTATATGCTGCTCGAATTCCTATGCCTCAAAATTTAGGAATAGAAATCAAAGGTTCATATTGAAGGAAGAAATCCCCAAGAACCATATTCTTCATAATTTTCCTGCCAACACTCTCCTGATCTGTAAAGGATTGATAAGTTTTGCCGTGGAAGTATTCATCAAACAACTTAATACTTGTCATTCCCTTTATCCTTTTCAAGCTGCCAAGGTGGGTACGGAAAGGAGACATAAAAGCTTGTTGAAAATATTTCTACATACCTTGAGATATTCCTTTATTTCGTTGAAATCAGGCCGCTCATCGATGTTTATGTAATCCATCACTCCCGATTTGAGATTTTGAGCTTCCAGAGTGGCTTTTGCCTGAAATACACAAGGTGAGGTGTGTAGGTTGGAAAATGCTTCACTGATGACCTGTCCTGAGGACTTGCCTCTGAATTTCTTTGCTTTCCTGTTTCATGGCGCCTTTTTATCTCTCTGTATTACCGCTATTTTGTTTTGTCTCTGTCTTCCGAGTCTTGGCCCATCTTCAAACAAATCTCACTCTCATAAGCCATCTCTTTTCCCATGGTCAACCCCTTTTGCTTCCCTTAGAAAGCTAACTATTTCCCATCTCAATGGGTCCTACAGTTCTTGTAAAATACCCCATCTAGGAACCTGCAGTGCTTTGGGTTCTTTCTGCTCATCGTTCACTTTCAAATAACTCTTCCCTTTACGATCACGACTTCTCTTTTCCCACTGTCAACCCCTTTTTCTTCACACATTCACTTCACTCCTCAATTACTCCATTCTTAGGAAGCTTACCTTGTCCCCACTGAGTCTCTCCACTTCCTTGTGAAATACCGAACGTTTTTCGTTCTCTTTGTTCACTACTCTACTTATACTTCACTCCAACAAAGAGCTTCTGTCTTCCCTCTTTTCCGGTAACAAATCAATTTTGAAATGGACACCATAAGCTCCATGCTAGTGCTTACAGATTAAATGCACAGTTCACGATGATTTTGGGTAATCCAGATTATGATGAAAAAGAAGACAAGATCGAAAATAGTGCGATGAAGGTTGAGAAACTGCGTGAATCGGTGTTTCCAAAATGAAAAAAGGCTTTGAAAAACCGTTAAAAAGGGGGTTGGACGAGAATGAGACCAGGAAAATGAAGAAGAGTAGAGCGTTTGGACGAGCTATACAATGTGTCTCACTGCGTACGTGTGGGTCCTGGTACGAATGACAGACTATGGTAAGCGAAAATTCATTCACCTATAAGCGTAAGTAAACAAAGAAACCCCAGTAACAGCTAAAGTAGCTCACCTTTTTCAGCCTCTAGGAGTAGGAAATTAAATAAGGGATCGCGGCAGCAAAAAGAATAACAGAGGAGAAAAGAATGGGAGAAAAACATCGCCTCTTCACTGGGCAAGCAGCTGATTGTGTGTGGGTCCTAGAACGAATAGTTGTAATCTGTGTTGTCTCGACATTCATCTGACGTGATATCAATCGAGGAGCGGAAAAGCATTGGCTCACCAGAGCATTATCGTGAACTGTCCCTTTAATGTTGATCATTTCTACTGATAATTCTGATTGACATGCTTTATCAATGTCCTGAATCTTTTGCTAGAACCGTTGACGAACCATCGATTCAAAAGAATCAATCTGTATTGTTTCGACACTCGTCTGAGTGACATCGATCGAGAGGCGGGAAGGCCATTGACGTTCCCGCCCATTGAATTATCGTGAACTGTGCCTTTAATTCGTTTATTCTCCACGGCTGGTCGACGGATCGTCTCTGAACTGTGGAAGGAGCGACTTTATAATAAGATGCCGCTATCGGAAGCAAACTGGTTATACTACAAACATGAGCGAGATTACAGCTGTGTAATCATAACTATTAATAGGGTGAATTACGTCAATAAACAAACAACAAACATCAGCTATGGTTCTGGACTTACGAAGGCCTACTGTTTGAAGTGGTGAGGAACAACAGACTTCGAAAGATTCTTGTGTCTTTCGGGGCTTCGGAGAAGGCAATAACGTCGAAACGTTAGCCGAAAACGGTAATTAAAAGTAACGATAATGGCTGAGCAATTGCTGTTCTGAGGAAGAAAACACTGAGATTTCTAAAGTTGGGTCTGGACCTTAAATTGTTCATTGACTGATTTGTGATTGAATACAAGTGTTTGTCGTATCCAAAGGGGAACGTGGAGCGCTGTCCCCTTCACCTTCTGAAGCCAATACCCACCGTGAAAGTATCCCAAGGAAAACCGCCTCTTTAGAATATGTTGTTTATTCCATCTCTCGTTCTCGGCCTCAAGACAAATCTGCTACTCGAACGATTTATTGAGAAGATTCTTAGCGATTTCGACGGTGAATACTTCCAAGTACATAGATTTCGCTAAAGTAAGAGTAATAACGTAAATAGAATAAAAATGATCTCACAAGAGACATCATCAATTTAAAGCAGCAATATCTCGAAAAAAATTTCAAAGAAAAAAAA